AAACAACTTTTACAAAAAGTTAAGTCCACCCGCCTCCTGAATATAAGTTTTATAATATTTTCATATTTTCACTATAAAACTATAATTAATGCATTTCAACACATTTTCCACTTAAAGAACAACTTGTACGAAAGTAGGGATTCCAACCCCATGAAAATGAATTTTATCACATTTCCATATTTTTATCAAAAGACTATAATTAATGCATTTGAACACATTTTGCACAATAGAAAAACTTTTAAATAAATGATCCCCTCTTGAAAATGTTTTATTTCCATTATTTTTCAAAATGTTATAATTCAAGCATTTAAAACATTTTTTAAAAACTTTTAGGGATTCACTGAAAATGAATGTTATCATATTTCCATATTTTCACCAAAGACTTATTCATGCATTTGAAACATATTTTAAAACAACTTTTACAAAATTAAGTCCACCCTCCTGAATAGTTTTATAATGTTTTCATATTTGCACTATAAAATATAAATAATTCAACAAATTTTCCTCAAAAACAACAAACAAAGGGAGGAATCCCTATTTTTAAAAGTTCTTTTATTGTGGAAAATGTGTTCAAATGCATGAATTATGGTCTTTGATAAAATATGGAAATTGATAAAATTCATTTTTAGGGGGAACCCTATTTTTGTAAAAGTTGTTTTTAAATGGAAAATGTGTTCAAATGCATTAATTATAATATTTTGATGAAAATAATGGAAATAATGGTAAAATTGATTTTCAGGATGGGTGGAATCCCTATTGTAAAATTGTTTTTAATGGAAAATTGTTCAAATGCATTAATTATAATATTTTATGATAAATAATGGAAATAATAAATATGATAAAATTCATTTTCAGGAGAGGGGAACTATTTTGTAAAAGTTCTTTTATGTGGAAAATGTGTTCAAATGCATGAATTATAGTCTTTTGATTAAAATATGGAAATATGATAAAATTCATTTTCAGGGGACTCTATTTTTGTAAAAGTTGTTTTGATGTGGAAAATGTGTTCAAATGCATGAATTATGTCTTTGATGAAATAATGGAAATATGATTAAATTCATTTTCAATGGGTGGAACTTACTTTTGTAAAAGTTGTTTTAAAGTGGAAAATGTGTTCAAATGCTTGAATTATAATATTTTGATTATGGAAATAATGAAAATAATGAAAATAAGATAAAATTAATTTTCAGGATGAGGTGGAATCCCTACTTTTGTAAAAGTTGTTTTAAAGTGGAAAATGTGTTCAAATGCTTGAATTATAATATTTTGATTATGAAAATAATGGAAATATGATAAAATTAATTTTAGGATGAGGTGGAATCCCTTTTGTAAAAGTTGTTTTAAAGTGGAAAATGTGTTCAAATGCATTAATTATAATATTTTGATGATGGAAATATGGAAATATGATAAAATTCATTTTAGGGGGACTCTATTATTTGTAAAAGTTGTTTTGATGTGGAAAATGTGTTCAAATGCATGAATTATAATCTTTGATGAAATAATGGAAATATGATAAAATTCATTTTCAGGGTGGAATCCTTATTTGTAAAAGTTGTTTTAAAGTGGAAAATGTGTTCAAATGCATGAATTATAATATTTTTGATGAAATAATGAAAATAATGGAAATATGATAAAATTAATTTTGGTGGAACTCTATTTTGTAAAAGTTGTTTTTAAGTGGAAAATGTGTTCAAATGCATGAATTATCTTTTGATGAAATAATGAAATATGATAAAATTCTTTTCAGAATGGGGAACTTTTTTGTAAAAGTTCTTTTGATGTGGAAAATGTGTTCAAATGCATGAATTATAGTCTTTGATTAAAATATGGAAATATGATAAAATTCATTTTCAGAATGGTTGGAATCCTTGTTTTGTAAAAGTTGTTTTTAAGTGGAAAATGTGTTCAAATGCATGAATTATGGTCTTTGATGAAATAATGGAAATATGATTAAATTAATTTTCAGAGGTGGAATCCCTACTTTTGTAAAAGTTGTTTTAAAGTGGAAAATGTGTTCAAATGCTTGAATTATAATATTTTGATTATGGAAATAATGAAAATAATGGAAATATGATAAAATTAATTTTAGGATGAGGTGGAATCCTACTTTCGTAAAAGTTGTTTTAAAGTGGAAAATGTGTTCAAATGCTTCAATTATAATATTTTGATGATGGAAATAATGGAAATAATAGAAACATGATAAAATTAATTTCAGGATGAGGTGGAACTATTTTTGTAAAAGTTGTTTTTAAGTGGAAAATGTGTTGAAATGCATTAATTATAATCTTTTAATGTAAATATGATAAAATTCATTTATAGGGGACTCTATTATTTGTAAAAGTTCTTTTTGATGTGGAAAATGTGTTCAAATGCATGAACTATAGTCTTTTGATTAAAATATGGAAATATGATAAAATTAATTTTCAGGATGAGGTGGAATCCCTATTTTTGTTAAAGTTGTTTTAAGTGGAAAATGTGTTGAAATGCATTAATTATAGCTTTATAGTGAAAATATGAAAATATTATAAAACTTATATTCTGGGGGTGGACTTAATTTGTTGTAATAGTTGTTTTTTTAAGTGGAAAATATGTTCAAATGCATGAATTAGTCTTTTGGTGAAAATATGGAAATATGATAACATTCATTTTCAGGGATTGGAATCCCTACTTTCGTAAAAGTTGGTTTTAAGTGGAAAATGGGTTTAAATGCTTGAATTATAACATTTTGATAAAATAATGGAAATAAGACTAAATTCATTTTCAAGAGGGGAGGAATCCCTATTTTTATAAAAGTTCTTTTTATTGTGCAAAATGTGTTCAAATGCATTAATTATAGTCTTTAATAAAAATATGGAAATATGATAAAATTATTTTCAGGGTTGGAATCCCTATTTTTGTAAAAGTTGTTTTTTAAGTGGAAAATGTGTTCAAATGCATGAATTAGTCTTTTGGTGAAAATGTGGAAATATAACATTCATTTTCAGGGGATTGGAATCCCTACTTTCGTAAAAGTTGTTTTAAAGTGGAAAATGTGTTTAAATGCTTGAATTATAACATTTTGATGAAATAATGGAAATAAGACTAAATTCATTTTTAAGAGGGGAGGAATCCCTATTTTTATAAAAGTTTTTTCTATGTGCAAAATGTGTTCAAATGCATTAATTATAGTCTTTTGATAAAAATATGGAAATGTGATAAAATTCATTTTCACGGGGTTGGAATCCCTACTTTCGTAAAAGTTGTGTTTGTGGTGGAAAATGTGTTCAAATGCATGAATTATAGTCTTTTGTGAAAAATATGGAAATTTTATAAAATTCATTTTCAGGGGTGGACGTGATTTTTTTGTAAAAAGTTCTTTTTGATGTGGAAAATGTGTTCAAATGCATGAATTATAATTTTTTGATGAAATAATGGAAATAAGATTAAATTCATTTTCAAGGGGGTGGAATCCCTTTTTAGTAAAAGTTTCTTTTTTTTAATTGGAAAATGTGTACAAATGCATGAATTATAGTCTTTTGACGAAAATATGAAAATATTACAAAATGAATATTTAGGGGCGTGGACTCGATTTTTTGTCAAGTTCTTTTGATGTGAAAATGTGTTCAAATGCATAAATTATAGCCTTTGATGAAAATATGTAAATATGATAAAATTAATTTTCAGGGGGGTGGAATACCTACTTTTGTAAAAGTTGTTTTAAAGTTGAAAATGTGTTCAAAAGCAAGAATTATAGTCTTGGTGAAATAATGGAATATGATGAATTGATTTTCAGGGGTGGAGTGAAATTTTGTAAGAAGTTCTTTTGATGTGGAAAATGTGTTCTAATGCTTTCGTTCAAGACGAAACGTCAATTTCATTTTGGCTTGGTCAAAGTCAGTTTTTTTATTGTCACATTAATATACATAATTTTCGTCGATAATATGAAAAACATTTTAACTAAGCGCTTCCGACATCACTACGCACGGTCTCATTATAATATTGAAATCCTCATTACCCAAAGCTGACCACGACACACTTTACGAGAACGGAATCGTAACCTTCAATGCAACAAGCCCCTAGCCAGCATATACTTACTAGAGAAAGCATGGTTTTACGTATGTAAAATTGACGCTCAATATTGCAAAACATATTGAAAGGAAAGCCGAATAATAAATTATTATGGGAAAACTGAAAATGTTACCGATACATAGGTATTTTGAAAATCATTGTCCGTTGCCTGACCGTTATTTTGAGCCCTGTTCTTCTTGTTTAATTAACTCAATTATTAACAAGGTATCGTTATCTTAATGCAGTTAAGAGTTAAGGTATGGTTTTCACACATTTCGTATTAGTTTGCACTCAGGCGAATGAGATGTTACTCGTTGGAAAAAAACTGACTGCGGTCGAAGCGTGTAACTACGGTTTGATAACAGAAGTTATTCCTCGCCGAGTTTGAAAAGAAATTAACAACAGAATGAAATACATGGCTGCGTTGCCGCCGAAGGTAGCACAAATCTGGACTTTAAAGTTATTGTTTCGTTTCATTTAACCATACAATGCTTCTCTCCATTGCAGTCGCTCTCAATGTCGAAGAAATTATGTCGCTCAGCTGAGCTGGAGAAACTTCACGATGAGAGTAATATAGAATGCGAACTGATTGCTCAAAGATGGGTCTGAAGGAATGCGCGCAAGTATGTTATTCAGTTTGATAAAACCATTTTCACCAAAGTGTTAAGCGTACAAAAGCATCTGCGCAAACATCTACTTGATGTCACGTGACAACATGTTAATTAATGGCAATTATTTTTTAACAACTGCATCATTTTTCAACAAATGCGCACGAAAGAAGGTTGTTGCGACTAAGAAGTCCGTTACGCCAGCAGTAAACACTGAAGTCTCAATGACTTGAACGATACAGAACGAGTGTTCGAAATTTTCCAGCAAAAAATTTTTTACTATGTTTTGGAACTTGATTCAAAACGCAATTTTTTTCCTCAAAAGTAAAGATTTTAAAATCGTGGTTAAATGAACGAATATGTTTTGTTATTCAACTCAAGTTACGAATGATTTACACCAACAACGCTACAAATTCCGCTGCGTAAAGGTTACAAACGGATCATTGGGGACACAATATCCTATTTGTACAATAAATATTTGCACGCGCCATAAGTCTGATCGTAAATATACCTTGATGGTAAATCATTCCTGTAAGCTCGTCCACCATCTTCTTACGATGCCATCCAAAATATCATCGTTGCTGATGTACTTTTGAAACAAATCGCATTCCTCGTGATTTTTATCCTCAAGTTCTTGTATATTACTGTTGACCATCAACGTCTGTTTCTCGAAGGCACTACAATATTAAATATGCTGCTTTACTATTTGCTGACATGGATTTTTTAAAAGTTCAAAACTGTAAATGTTTTCATCATCTACGACGTGAACGTCCATGAATAACAATAGAAATTTATTGCATTTTCAAAGGTCCCGTGTCCCCTCTCCCTCTAGTTGCTAAGCTTCGCCCACCCTCCCTCTCCTTCTGCTTTCTAATAGTGCTCAATCCATCTCGCTCGTAAAAATAGACACACAAACCTGTCTAGAAACTAGTGAAAATCTCGCCAAAAGTGAATTGAGTTCCTTCTCGAAATGTTTGAAAGATAAAAGTTCTGCAATAATTCCGCGTTTCCTTTGCCATGTCGCAGTCGAGTTTCGTGTTGCATAGAATAACAGACATTACCCGATTTAAAGGAAATTCACCGTAAGACAAAATGAATTTTTTTTAAAGCATCTCAGTTCTTTTATAAAAACAACAATTATGTTTCACGATACACTTTTTTGGGGGTAGGGGTAGGGATAGGAGTAAAGCATTTTGGGAACTTAGATAAAGCTATTCGTAGTTTTAATTACTTTTCAATCTCACAGTTAATTTTCAACACCTCAGAACATAACACATCCTCTCAGGTTCAAGAAAAGAAAACATTTAAATGTTTATATAAAGTGATCAATAGGCGTGGATACAACTCAAATACCTAACGATTCAAAATATGACCTTGTGCCCAGGCCTCCGTTTAATATAAACAAGTCACGTGTACCTGTGAATGACCAAATAAATTAGGTACAGTTAGAGAGCAACATCCAACTGGAGGATGACCCAACTCCACAAACTTCGTTTGAAAAGTTGCCTTTAAAAAACACGACGAATATGTCAACTGAAATAAAAATTACGTAATGTTGTACTGAGGAGTCACTAGGAGTCACTAACGAGTCACTAAGATCAGTTCTTACCAAACTGGAAACATTGGTCTATAAACAAGAAGAAGCGTTATGAATACGTTCCGCTTTCGCGCATGTATATTTACTTTTCATAATTGGAAAGGTCGTCGTTTAATTAGATTCGTGCTCAGTTACAATTGGTTTTTCTATGAAATTAGATTGTCCCCGCTATCTAATTTGAATTAGAATTTTAGCAAATTGTGAAGTTGTTTCAAAGTAGTTTGCCACCTACTTCGAACTGCTGAGCACAAAGTAATTTTGCTAACTCGCAATGACTGTTCATGCGTCTATTTCTATAATACTATAGTTCATGCGACTTAAACGATCTCATGACACCGTTGAAATAAATGAAATGGTAATCGAGTTCCATCGGTTCTAATCGCTAATAAAGCGCTCGCAAGAAAAATGTTTCGTTTGATCATAGTGTGTGTGTCATCGTGGGGTAACTTCATATGCTGAAAAGACAGTTAAATTTTCCATGCACCTAACTCCCAAAGACTATAGCTAAATGTGTCTATTTCACAAAGACTTTAGTTCATGCACCTAAAGGCTATAAAATCTATATATATGTATATTGTTCGTGCATCTTAACAATATAGTTCATGTACCTAACTCCCAAAGACTATAGTTCACAAACTTAACTTTCAAAGAATATCTTTCACACACCCAACTTCAAAGACTAAACTCCCAAAAATTCTTCTTCATGCACCTAAACTCGGAACGACTATAGTTCATACACCTAACTCCCAAAGACTATATTTCACGCACGTAACTCGCAAAGACTATAAGATCATGCGTCTATTTCCCAAAGAGTTTAGTTCATGCAACTAACACCAAAGAAAATAGTTAATGTATCTAATTACCAAAGACTATAGTTCATGCACCTTACTCCGAAGGACTATAGTTCATGAAAGAGCTCCCAAAGACTATAGTTCATGCACCTAACATCCAAAGACTATAGTTAAAGCACTTAAATTCCAAAACTTATATTTCACGCACCTAAATCTCAAAGATTGTTCATGCGTTTATTTCCCACTTATTGAACTCACTTGATTGGTGAATTGTATTTTCCCATGTTTTCAAAAACTTTCTTAAAGGTCGTACATTCCAATTCTTGTTCTTAATTCCAGGATCACATACATATGAACTATTGACCAGACAAAATCATGATATCTAATTACAATGTGACATCACTCTTCACATCCATACCATTAGACATAGCCAAACAACACAACTAGACAAATAAAATCCTAGACTTACTCAACCTTTGCCTCTCCACTGAATTCTTCTTCTAAAACTCATACTATAGACAACTTTCAGCGAATCAATGGGGTCACCACTATACACCTTCCTCGCAAAAGCTGTCGTGCAAAACCTCGAAACACAATCAGTCACCAACAGCACAGATGAAACAGACAGACTATGGAATAGATATAAAGACGATATCTTTGCCATAGTCAAGAAAGCCAAAACTGGACAAATGCTACACACCATAAAAATACTACAAAGAAGATAACCTTCACTAAAGACAAAAACACAACAAGACTAAACAAACAAGTATACGGCATAAATACCCTTACAGACCAAATACTTGATTTCAACCGTAATCATTCCACACAACACAAAATAAGCAACATTCGAACACTTTTCAACAGAATTAACACTCACTGCAGCACAGAAGAAGCCAAAAAACAGAACGCAACTACTTGTTCTCATTTATAAAAACTAGTTACCCTATAGAAACTTTATAGACGAAACTATAAGCAAAATCAGTCAGAACTTTACTACTAACGGACACCTCCCGAAAGCAGACACTGCTATTAGGTCCCTGCCAATACTCTTACTATTAACTTATTTACAACCTCTCATAAGCAGACACCAAAACAATCTTCAAACAATTCTGTAGTGTTTATGGTGTTTCGAAAGTTCACTTTTAGAGGTGGTCATGGGAGAAAAATTTACATGAGTTTAATATTTACTGAGGAAATTACCATACACCAGCTATGGTCAAATGGCAATTTTGCACAAATTAACAAATATTCGTGGCAGAGATTGAATTTTTATATTTTCGTTGTTTCAAGAAATTTACATTGTTTTTGCTGGCATACGATAGAACATATTTCGCATACCTTCCTCCTAAACCCACTTTCCGTCATATTTTGCCGTTTAGTGTGCATTTCATAGCCGAATCTTATAACTTAGATATTTCATACAGGGACAATCCTTCACCATTGATAAGTGTCGTCGCTTTTGTGCTCGATAAATCCCGCTTCAAAAAAAATATAGATATGACGATATATTTTCGGATATTTTGGGTTTTTTGTAGTGTTGTTCGCAATGATTCATAAATAGATCAAATTGAACCTTAGCCGACAATTACCCCGCACGTGTGATTGGGTCAAGATTGTCTGTCTAATACATTGTATACAGAACCATTTAAAAACCGCTATAAAGCTATTAAAACCAACAAAACACAATTAAAAACTATGTATAATAACTATATATATATCGTAACAACGAATATTTTCATATTTTTTCGATATTTTCGGTACATCGATATATCGATATACCGAAAACCAATATCGATAAACCGATATTTAAAACCCCGATATTTATCGATAATTCGATATGTCGCAACAGCCTACCTCGCAAGAGCCTTTATCGTCGTAAACATGCTTGGACTCATTCATGTTTTCAGTGGTTGACGAGTCCTCATCCAAAACTCTCGAGCGTATGCTAGGTGCTTCAACTACGTTCAATTTCATCAAGCTATCTTCAACCTGGCGTCGTTGTTTCTCTTCTGCCATGCTTGATTTTGTTTCAATGTTGGAAGTTTCATTTTCAAGCAGTTCTTCTACCTCGATCTACGAATTATAATATCTGTCATAAATATTAAAGCAGTTTGTTTATGTAGAAAATATGCAGACACAAAGTTATGAAGAGAAATAAAACATCTTTAACATTGTCACGGATATTACGAGGGGCATAACAAAGTGTTGATGAGTTTGACTAATTCTACGTTTATAAGAAACTTTTAAACAATTCTAACCCTAACCTTAACACTTACACTAACCATAATCTAACCCTGACCTAATCCATACCCTAACCATTGAACCAATGTATGAACTGTAGTCAATTGTAGTCACATTATAAAGCCTACTTCCTATTGTTTTTGGAGTTCAATGTGCATTCTAATCTTTCGTTTCAAATCCGCATTCTATTCTTGTAATCTTGTAGCCCATATTCTTGCAAGCATTTCTCAAATGGATATTCACAAATGGAGACTCGACAAGATATGTTAATTTTTTTCACCAAACAAAAAATTTGTCACAGTCTGTTACGGGTCTTGCAGCTGACATATGAAATGTTTGTAAGTGTGGCAGGAAAATTACATTTATATAGCTACTCTTTGTTTTGCTATGTTAAGCATCACACAATAACAAGAAAACGAATGAGGAATTGGTCACATTTACCACTAAAAACAGTAAAATTCTAGAGCTCCAGTACGAATAGCAAATGACTGTCAAAACGAGGGACGATCTTGGCCCACTGCGATAATATTTTACCAAATGAAGGGGAATTCCACAAAACATGTCCATTTGGACATATTATACAAGTGCACATGTGTCAACTAACCCTGGTTTAACCAAGGTTTGCGTTAAATACGACGCTTTATATTTTTCATCGCTGTAGTATGAACTACTTTGTTGATAAATATATAGTAATTCTGCGAGTAAAATATCTTTACCTTCCTCTGCACAACAAAGTTTTTCTTGTATCAACGCACACAGCCTCCTACTAGCTCAAGAAACAAGCCAAAATATGAAAGAGAAGCGATCTCGTTTGAGTGAAAACTTGATGGTAAAAAGTTGAAAAGTTGCTGATGGTTATCGCCATAAATTACCAATGGAAGAATTTACCACCACGATAAAATCAATATTACCACCACTGATAAAGTATTAGTGACCAATGCCGCCAGTTTGCCAGTGACCAGTGGCATGTACGCGTACCTATTTTTCTATAATTGCGACGCATCATGGGATTTACATTCAAATTTATTTTTGTGAGTAAATTCATTTTATCTTTACCATAAAATGTTGTTTTACTTCAAAATCTTCGCTTGTCAGACTTCGTGAGATGACTAAATCTCGCAAGCGTTCGATCACGGCCATGACCGATTTTTCACCGAGTACTTTGTTGTCACGTGTTCTGACGTTGACCGTGTCTGAGACCGTCTCTTTTCACCAACAACTGTTTAAAAACAACATAAAACCATTTAACCAATCGCATTTAGTAATAAAATGAACATCTATTTTGCTTTTAAAATAGACAACACTTAAAAAGACAATGAACACAAAACAAACAAACAAAAACACAAACAACAAACAATCCAACAACAGCAAACGATAATACCTTACATTTTACAACTCGCACATCAACTGACTACCAAGAACAACGAGTACTGACAAGTGAGCATCACAATGCACAACATTACAAACAGCACTGACTATAGACAACGACTTACGTTAGAAAGTAGGTTAACAAACTCAAAACAAAAATCATTGAACAGAATACAAATATCAGCACCTTATAAACGGCTTACAAGCGAACAATTAATAAGTATACCACACAAACTAAAACATCCACATATTTTCCTCTCTGTCATGACGTCTAGAGAACAAATACGGCGAACCTGACTAATGTTGTGGAAACGTCAGTAAACTCTGAACACCAACAGTGGTTCCAAACCATTTTAATTTCTATTTATTTGTACAGTAAATAAAAAATAATTTAAAAAGACTTATTCATACCAAGAATGAAGTTGTACTGTGAAAGTTGTGCATTGCGAACTTTCTTATTTAGTGTTGATCCGTGATCCAAGTCTGTATCAACACGATAACCAGCTGCATGGAACTTCTTTGAATCTAAACATGACCAAAATGTCAAAAAAAAAGGACAAAAAAATTCCAATTCATAAAATAGCAACAATTTGTCCATAGCTGAGTTTGCATTAGCCTGTGCAAGTTCGATCTAAGGCTTACCAAATTAAATTTACCGGTTCGGCATAATCATCATATTTACTACTGACAGGAATTACTACAACTTGATGGGGAGAAAGCCATAAAATCCTAGAAAATAACAGAAAATGCAGTGCGTCAAAATTTTGAAATAAAGTAGTAGAGTAAAAATGATAAAAAATTTCCAAACAATTAAGAAACTTTGTATCATTTTAATTTAACATTTAAGGACATTTCATTTGCTTTAAGCTCTGGCATGAGCCAAGAAAACACTCACCATTTTCCACCAAAGCTTTCAGCAAGAATAGCAATCATTTTTCAACTGAACCTACAATAGCTCGATGAATAATAACAGGATGTAATTTTATATCTCCTTCACCACTGTCAATAGAGTAATAGAATATTGATAAATTACTAAATTGTTACAATTTGTAAAGATCTACAATTTCATGGAAACTTAAACTGTGCCGTAATCCTCTGACTATAATACACAGGCTTACATATGTTTGTGAGCCATTATCAATGATATTTACATGGGGATGGATGCACAGGGATACATGCATGGACTATTAACTATTATATTGCAATTATCTGTTAACATTGCAATATTAAATGTAACTATATACTTATATGGGTGGGTTTGTTTAAGTTTGAATGCAGGTGGGACTTTCAGTGTTCAGCAATGTAGCAGGCTGCATATAAGTATATAGTATATATAAGCATATAAATATATAACAATAGGTTTCTATAGAAACAAATAATCATGTCACTGTTGGTTAAATAAATTAAGTATCAAGACCGTAGTGAGGTTATTCAACTAAAAGCTTACTGGCAAAACTTACCTAGCGTGAGGTTGAATCTCTCAGGAAGTTGGAAATCCAGTTCAATTGTTGCACATTGATGAGACCATCTCATAGCATCAAAAATTTTTATATTAATCTATAAATTGTGATAGCAATGAAATTATAAATTCACAATGGTATACATCTGTAAACATAGAAAGCTTCATCCCCCATCCCCAGGATTTATCTGCCGCTTTTGACCAAAATTATTCAAAGCTTCCATCAGTTTCTAATGAAGCATAAAACAAACTCATTTAGTTAAACAATTAAAAATATTATCAATCATTAAACATTTTCGATATTTATGACAAGACAGCTAAAAAACATTGTAAAGACTGCATTTATGTTCGCTGTGAACAAATTTCTCCCTTTTTGGGAGGTAAACAAACCAATCTGTATGTCAAATCAACAAATGAAAACATTCTATATTTTATTTCATTCTTGAATAACTGTCTATATCTTTGATATCCATAAAGAGGAATTGCACACGATGAAACAAATGTAACTTGATTAAATAGTTCATTGGTTTCAACCATTGAGTTGTAATGTTTGAAATGTTCAAGGTTAGAAGCCATCTTGATTTCAGCAAGCGGAGACTGAAACGAGTTAATATTTTAGTTGCAATATTAACAAATACTAAATAAAATCAATTACAAGAAAACAAAAACAATGATGAACCAAAATTGTTAAAGAACATATTTTAAGTAAAACGACTCATGCAAGGTAACTCAAATGTTCAACTTATGATGGTGAAAATATAAAAAACATGGAGATAAAATAAAGCATGACAATCAATAGATCTTCACTTAGGTAATAATAGCTGCAGATCCAAATTTATAAACAGTGTGTGAAGCACTGACTAAAACATTTTGGCAATCAAATGCACTTGAAAGCCCTGGCAGGTTAGCTAAAGTCCCTCGGTGCTACAAGTCTTGTGACTTTTACTACAAAATCTCCCTCGGCTTTCAAGTACATTTAATCACTAAGTTACCTCACTACCGTGCATCGTTTTACTTATAAAAATATTGCACACGCTAGCTAAAATGTAGATCCCATTAACTACATACATGTATGGTCTTATATGAGCCAGTTTTAAATACTCAAAGAATATTTAGGCAATCAGAGAGTAAAATATTTTACCTTACTCTGAACAAAACAGTTTTTCTTGTGAGTCTTTTATCGCAGGGATACGTCGGTATAAAATTCTTATCACCAAAATGTTTCAAATTCCAAATTGGTGAAGTGTTGACTGTGTAGTAAGCTGGTCGATACAACTCATACGCAACGCATCGATTTGCTGTTTAAAATCATGATAGAACTCATGCAGATAGATTGGTTTCACATAGCCAGAATAACAACCAATAACTGTTAGCTTCCAGAGCAATTCAGTGAATTCACCACAAATGTCAGTCTGCTACGTGAAGATAGTTCTCTTGCATATGCCTCAAGTCTTTTTTTACGCTTCCGAATTGCATCCTTGAACGCCTTATTTTATACAGTTCAGCCAACATTTACCTATTCTTGCCATAAAATGATTAAGTGTGCTCCAAGTTGACTGAAAATAAAATTGTTCAGCATACGCCATTTTGAAAGCATGTCTATAATTATCCACTATCATCCATTGTAACCACTATCAACATCCTAATGTCATTGGTCAAAAATAGTCACATTTTTATTTACTTTTGCCTTTCATTCATGTCATTTCTAGATATGAATTTTCTTATTCGTCCATAGTTCAATCAATAATAAAAAAATATTTATTGTAAATTTTATTATAGCAAATGAACGTGACGCCAAGAGTTTGTAAATTACATGCAATTTTTCGTCGTGGTATAGTGAACTATCTATCTCGACCTTATTTAAACCTGAACATTTTACGAAGATGGTTCGAAAGTTCCCTGCAATCTCCCACCAGTTTAAAGAAGCAAAGACAAAGTAGGATCTTTAATTCAAGATCCAGGGAATGAATTGAAGTTAAAGATGTACGCCCTTTTAAGCAGGTATTTTACGAATCATAAAGATATTGTATCCGGTTTTACATAAAGCTTGACCATTAGTTGTTGTATCTCCTACCTACAAGCTCTTCAATTAAATGGTGACTTTACATTTTGGTGCACGATGTGCATCATTGCAGTTGAATCACATATTTGCAAAGGCACAGTCAATTTTTTTCAATTCTAACTATAGAGCTCAATGATCTCGACCTTATTTAAACCCATTGAACTCTACAACAACTGGAAGGCTAACTTGACGCCATCTTTGAAGCCTGCACGAGCGCCGCCATTGAAGGTACGGAGGCGAAATACATCACTTCGAAATTGCCGAATTTTTGCAAAAACAGTGGTCTTCAAGCCAGCTTAATGTCTAAAAATCTTAAACAATGTTTGAGATTGTTTTTATAATTTATTGTACGAACATTTTACTTGCTAAAACTTACATATTACTTGAAGTCGTTTGAGAAGTTCCTTTCTCTTAAATTTATTCTTAAGTTTATCATACATTACATTACAGATGTAAATTTTTTTTTGGGTCTAAGGACATGAGAGTAGAAAACATTGAGGTGTAAAATAATCTCTAAACATGAAAGAAGATGCCGCTACTATACTGGGGAAATGCCAGTAAATTTGATGATCAATTTTCACATGTTTTATACTTGTTGCGAGGTATGTCATTTTGTACGTTTTATGTAAATTTTCGTGAATTAAAAATACTGTGAAAAGTCCCAAATGGATTGCCAGCTGATGAAAAAATCATTTTACACCTTAATGATTTCTTCCTCTAAATTGTTTTCATCAGTTACCATGTTGGGGCAAAATTCCATACAGTGAAAAGAATTTCTGCTAATTTTATGCTTTGCTGAGCTTCGACACTCTCATGTACTCTCCCAACATGGCTTATATGACGTCAAAAGAAAACACACTATAGCTACGGTTGAATGAAAACAGCCCCAAACATCATTAAATATTTGTTAAAATTGCGTATATATTATTACGAAACAGCGATTTTGTGCACGTTATGATGACAAATTTCCATATTGCATTGAAAAGCGTATTTCGAAAACATTTATCAAACGCTGACACTTGCTGGCATGGTGACCATGTTTAATTTAAATACATATGCATATTTTAAGCTGACAGTCGTTTCAAAACTACCGATGGATGTTATTTATTCATCACGGCATAAATGCTTTTCAAACAACTTTATTATTCTAAAATCATTACTTAATAGAAATTTGTACAACATTATTCCAAAATAGGTGGCAGGAGCCTACTTTGAAATACTTTACCACAAAATTGTTTTCTAAGTCAGAGAGCGAGGGAACTCTCTGACTTAGTAAGAATACGCCGAATTCAACAGAGTATATATGCTCTCAAAATCCAAGATTTCTTAAAATCTAAAAGATAGCCAAAGAACAAATTAGCGATACAATAAAACAAACACATAAACCTGAAAAGACTGAAGTCACTAAGCTACAAGTCAGTGAAACAAATAAAAAAATTTTTATACCTCATCTTGTTCTCCATCAGCATGCTTCCCGTCTCTCCGTCAGCATCCTCTTCGTCGCTCCATCAGCATCCTCTTCGTCGCTCCATCAGCATCCTCTTCGTTGCTACATCAGCATCCACCTCGTAACGCCATCAGCATCCTCCTCGTAGCACCATCAGCATCCTCCTCGTAGCACCATCAGCATCCTCCTCGTAGCACCATCAGCATCCTCCTCGTAGCGCCATCAGCATCCTCCTCGTAGCGCCATCAGCATCCTCCTCGTAGGACCATCAGGACCATCAGCATCCTCGCAGGACCATCAGCATCCTCCTCGCAGGACCATCAGCATCCTCCTCGCAGGACCATCAGCATCCTCTTCGTAGCACCATCAGCATCCTCCTCGTAGCTCCGTCAGCATCTTCCTCGTCTCTCCGTCAGCATCCTCTTCTTTTCATCAGCCTCCTCCTCATCTAAACGAAAATCTAAAACAAGTTAAGATTAGGACAGGAAAAATAATAACGTACTCCTCTATCTTCTTCTTGATCTTCATCTCTTGTACCTAAAAAAAGACTGAAGAAGAAGTTATTTGTTTGATGGAAACAAACAATTGTAAGCACCCACCACTGCCAGAGTTCGCGTTCTTTCACTGTCCGTACGCTCGACATGTCTATAAAATGCAACAACAATATCATGGCAAGTGATTATGGAGATCGTGCTTTGCATTGTAATAGTTTTATCATGCTAAAACATTTATATCCATGACTGTACATGATTGAACATGTATGTTAAGTGAACAACTCTTTGAAGATTATAAGACTCGCGGAAAGCTTATCGTTTGAACCGTGCATTGTGTTATAACACCCTCAATGTTATAACACATGCAGTGTTCTGTAACATTGTCAAACGATTTATTACATGCGATATAATTCAAAAATACCTAGATAAAAACAAGATAATTAACGAATGTCTCATGCAATATATTCTCTGCTCAACTCTTTTCGATTTCATCCAAAAGGTTGTTTAATTATTTCGGTAAGGCACTAAGGTTTATAAAGATTTTGCAACACTCTGCCCGCATGTTGCAATATCAAATGAATTATCTTATTATTCAATTATATATTACAGAATATACAATTCTGTAATATATAATTGAGGTAATTGATTTAAATTCCTCGTCTCTTCATGTGCATCCTCGTTTCTTTATGTGCATCCTTCTCTCTTCATGTGCATCCTTCGTCTTTCCATCTGCATCTTCCTTGTCTTTTTATCTGCATCCTCCTCGTCTTTCCATCTGCATCCTCCTCGTCTTTCCATCTGCATCCTCCTTCTTTCCATCTGCATCCTCCTTCTTTCCATCTGACATCCTGATCCGACGATCCGATGATCGATTCGCGACGCCGACGACGCCGCCGATCGACGCGACGCCGACGACGCGACGCCGACGATCTGACGCCGATGACGCCGACGATCTTGATCGATCGCGATGCCGACGATCTCGCCGACGACGCGATCGCCGACGATCTGACGTCGATGACGCCGACGATTCTCGATCGATCCTGACGATCTCGATTTGATCGATTTATCGACGACGATCGACGCGATGACGATCTTTTCGAGATCTCGCGACGACGACCTCGACGATCTTTTCGCGAGATCTTCGCGACGATCTTTACGACGATCCTTTATGATCTTTCCATCGATCCTTGTCCATCCTCGTCCCTTCATCTGCATCCTCCTTTTCTTTATCTGCATCCTCGTCTCTTCATCTGCATCCTCCTTTCTCTTCATCTGCATCCTCGTCTCTTCATCTGCATCCTTCTTGTCTCTCCGTCAGCATCCTCCTCTACTTTTCATCAGCCTCCTCCTCATCTAAACGAAAATCTAAAACAAGTTAAGATAAGGACAGGAAAATAATAACGTACTCCTCTATCTTCTTCCTGATCTTCATCTCTTGTACCTAAAAAGACTGAAGAAGGAGTTATTTGTTTAATGGAAACAAACAATTGTTTAGCACATACCACTGCCAGAGTTCGCGTTCTTTCACTGTCCGTACGCTCGACACTGTACATGACTGAACATGTATGTTAAGTGAACAACTCTTTGAAGATTATAAGACTCGCGGAAAGCTTATCGTTTGAACCGTGCATTGTGCTGTAACACCCTCAATGTTATAACACATGCAGTGTTCTGTAACATTGTCAAACGATTTATTACATGCGATATAATTCAAAAATACCTAGATAAAAACAAGATAATTAACGAATGTCTCATGCAATATATTCTCTGCTCGATTTCATTGAAAAGGTTGTTTAATTATTACGGTAAGGTACGAAGGTTTATAAAACATCATCGCATTTGAAGATTCAGCAACATTTTGCCCCATGTTGCAATATCTTGTATACTCTATAATATATATTTGAGGTAATTCATTTGAACGTTTCTCAAGTGAATTACCCACTTTTATCTCACCTACTATAACATCACTTGATGCTACAGTAGTTCCTCTCAGGAGCAGGGACGGATTAACCAAAGGAAGCTGTCTAGAAGCCTCCACAAACAAGGGCCTTCACATTATTCAAAGGAAGAATAAACATAGTTGCTTTAAAGACGAAGGAAAAGCATTTAGTTTATTTGTTGGATCAATTTCAGCTGATGAAGAACAGACCACGTATGACAACGAATCACAGTAAACTCAGCCATTTTGCTCTGATGAGCATTGAGGACAATATTCTAACAGAAATGAACTTGGAAGAGCTTATCAAAGACTGCCAGAATTAGATCGCAATAACTACTTTATCTCAAGTAGCAGCATTCACTCGTCGTATGCAACCGCTTTACACGCTATATTCGAAGTTTATACTTTTATCAAATGCTTTACGAAATTTGAAAGTAGACAAAAGGATTGAACTTGCTATTTCTAACAATGGCCAGTTGTTAGAAATAGGCAAAATGCAAAATCATAACACTTATGTGAATGAAAAAGATGAATGCAAAAATGAAAATATTTTCTGGACATGTATTGAAGAGGTCCAATAATTGATGTCAAGAATAGTGGGAAACTTTTGGCAGTTTCGTTCGTGTTCTCACTTCAATATGTAACTGAAACTTGACGGCATTTTTGTGCTCCAAGATCGAAACATAGAAATACTAAGAAACCAAAGAAATCGATCATTCCTTCGAACAAATAGGACTCATAACGATGCTTTGAATATGCTGTAACGAGAATTCACATCACAATTGGGTTATACATTTTAATTCATCGATCTCAAACTTACATCTTTATGTCATCGACGATTTTTCTGTATTTAACCTGCCGCTTTCAAACATGGCTAAAATATCTCAACCGTGTCATGTCTTCAGTTGCTCGTCCTTTCCAACAAGTAGTCGCATTTCTTGAAGGCTGTCTTCGACTTTCAACAGACTTTCACCTTTCCCAGACGAACAGCTCGGTCAAATAGGGTTATCGAAGTGAAAGACCCTACTTTTCTTCTGATAACTTTCATATATCACATGAATTAATTATTAATTCATTCGTCAATTTTGTTCAAACCATGATAAAAAGGGATTAAATTCATTGATTGCATGAAAATATATGCAGGGCAAAGACAAAAGGAATTAAGCCTGGTTATAAGTTAACTAACGACATTGGTTAGTAAAAGAAAGCAAAGCCTTTTCCCCAGAGGTTTGGAGAAAACAAAAGAATATTTCTTTTGTTTCCTCAATGAAGAGTTTGCGAAATCAATGATTGTAAGGTTATGACGGCAGACAGAGCATGTCGTGTTGTGGTAAATTTTATCTAGTATGAACAAAAAATTATCTCACCCAAAACCGCAATTCAATGCACCATAGCTTGGAGAGTTATCATTTTTCTCCCACCTGACCACCTTTATTCAACTTGTTACGTCAACAAATAAATTAGAAGGCATATCAAAAGCTTGTAATTTATTCACGTGGGAATCACCCACATGTTATAGAAAAGCTTTTGTCGTGCTCAATACTTATTATGAACATTGGAGCCCTGCTTATTGCAATAATATGACTTGCCATTGTAAAATGTAATGTAATAATTTAACGAGAGAATTTTATTGACAGAACTAAATGGTAGCAAGTGATTCATTTTAGCAATCCTAATAGGATGGGACAAAGGGAAAGAATGAGAGGTAAGTTCGTTTTCAAATAATTATCTTTAGCGATGTAACGATAGCAGGACTTTCAAATGCGGTAAATGTTTTGTGGGAAAAGCGCGATTGTTTCTTTTCCGTGGTTGTAATCCTTAAAATTACATTATTAACAGTAAAACTGAACAAATTGAAAGTTATCTTTTTCCTCTTATATTCCTTGTTCAACGAGTTCATTTCCTTGATCAAACCATGATGAAAATTTATCCAATCACATTTACATTAAAGTTTTTAAACTTCAAGATTTCCCACATTCATTTAGCTTAAATGCCGCATGATAAACGAATGATATCTCTAATCAAAGATGATCACGCAGTCTCCGATTTTTTAGGAATGAAAATAGGTTTTACGTTAATTGGTTTATGTTTGGCGTAAGGTGAAGCCGGTGATCAAACAATTAACACGTGATTACCCTTTAACCATAATCTCCACATGCTTTTATGAAATCCTCGAGCATCTAAGTCCCAGATTCGTAAACATCTCGCTATATTATTCCATGTTGTCCAGTCGTTAGCATGTTTCATTTCAATATAAAATATATATGTTTTATCAGATGTTTCTGGAACAAAGTCTTTCTCGTTCTTGCAAGGATTTTACTGTGATCCAACGGCTCTGCCAACCTGTAAAAAACAGTAGATAGACATCTCTAACAATCAAATGACATAAATATACGCACTATGATGATAATTAGATCACTGAATCACTAAGTAGAAATCTCCTTCATTGTCCTGTGAAAAGAAAAATATTGTTGTCAATATTTTATAAAATCCTGCAAGACATACCCTACAAGCCGTTCAATCTCCTTCTCATAATTTTCTTTTTTCAACAATCCAACATTAAACTTAACGTTAGGTTCAGTATTCAACGTATGTTTTTTGAAATAGGATTCTTGAAAAAATACATTCATATTCAGGCCTTTGGCGCCAAAATGGTAGGTTCTTGAGATATCCGGAATGATACATTCACGTCCCTTTTTGTTGCTGTCCATCCTCATCCACATATCCCAATCCCAAAAGAGATCAGGGGTTGGCCATTTTGGCTCAAGTTCTTCTTTATAAAGTCGTCGTTTGAGCAACCTGTTAATGTAAAGAGAAATAATAGATAGAATGAAGTTTATACTATCTATACATTTATAGTGCTGCGTGATGTCATTGTGGCGTGATGTCATTGCAGCGTGAGGTCATTGTAGCGTGATGTCATTGCAGCGTGATGTGCTTGTAGTGTGATGTCATTGTAGCATGACGTCACTGTTGCGTGATGTCATAGCGTAAACAAAATCATTTGTAGTAATAAAAATTCTCACCAGCCTAAACCAGGCATTGTTTCTACACGATATAACATTGCAGGATCATTACATGTGTGATCATAACCCTAAAAATAGAAATACTTGTTTTTGCAATTAAATCATTAATCACATAAATTAGTTTTTCAATGGATGTACCATTTCTAAGGTAAATTTCCTAAATTTCACTTCGTGATGTGCAAGGAAGGAAGCTCGATAAAGACAAACATAATGTAACCAAAGAAAACTACAATAAGATAACAGATTCTTGTACGGAGATTTCCATTTTCCATTATAATGTGAAAAATATTTGAGATTTATTTAATTTACATTCTGCACTCTCGTCAGAGATAAACTGGACTCGACAAAAAAAGCAAAAAGAATCAGAGACGTTCAAAACCACGTTAATAAAGTTGAAAACGAATTAAAATTTTGTTGTGTAGCAAACACAAGCCAACAATAGAGTAAAAGACTAAAAAGATGAAAAGAATGTTGTTAGCTTTTGTTTATAACAAACCTGATCATTCCACGCGATATACAGTACAGACTTTCATCTGTATCCATTAAAGGCCAAAATTGATTAAAATAACTAAATATGTCCACAGATACGTCTAAATCTTCTTCCAAAATAATCATATACCGAGCATTGGGATAAGCATTAAACGTCTCTGTCAATGTTCGCTTGTAATGCTGGGGGGAAGAGAAAATACATTTAAAAAGTAATAAAAGGAACGAAAAAATTTTGATTACATCGTGTAAACACTCTCAAAGAAAAAGCCTTACCAACCTGTGATATTCTAGCGTTCTTACTGCTAATAGGAATATGCTGTACGACTTTTACATCATATAGCCTTGCCACAGCAGCTGGTTCTTCAAAGAATCCATCAATAAATACAGTAAATAACTCCTTCTTTGCTCCATGAGCTGACAACATTGACCGTAAGCCACGATAAAGATAATGTGGCCTGTTACTAGCAATCACAGCAACAGGAATGTCTTGAACTTTTCTAACTTCAACGGTGTTGTTTTAATTTCAATTGGAGCAGGATTATTACCTACAACATTTAAGAACATATTCTGTCAGTTCTTCATATCGTTCTAACATTAGCTGCAATAACAGTGATATCCTTATTTCTACAATTTTTCCATGGAGTATTCTCAGAATATTTTCTCGAAGTTTTAATGCACAATGTGAATGGCAAAATTACTGAACACATCGCTGTACGTTCAATTAAATAAGAAATCTAATCCTACATGGATGTAACGAAAAGATACTTACAACTGCATACACTTCCATAGCCTTCAAACTTATCACAAAACATTCTTCGCTTTGATTCTTCACTGTCATCCCAAGCACATTGAGATTGTTTAGCAGGAACAAGAGGAACTGTAGCACGAGCAGTGACAGGCTCACCCCAGTTCGATATGTCTGCTGCGTGATGATGTTTCTCTGAGTATTGATGGCCACGTTTTGTGACGATAAATGACCAGCTATCCCGCCATTTTAGTTCATCGGCATAAACACTACCAAGACTTTTGAGCAAAAGCAATATCGGCGATCATGTAAAGACACAGTTCTCCACGTAAAAGGATTCTTTAAGAAACTCTTACAAGTGTCAAGGAAACATTAACTTGTAGCATTATTTTTCCATCTGTTAAAATGTGACTTCAATACGATCGGAAATATACGTACTCGACTTAATGGTCATTGTTTGCACTCCATTTCTCTTCCATTTGACTTGGTGCAAGCAAAATGGTAGTTCAGTATAATGAGCAAATTTGCGCAAATTTAAGGGAGACTGGCAACCGGCAAATACTTCATTGCTATCTTACAATTGGTTCATTTGAATTTTTGTTTTATTGTGATTGGTTTGACGGATTTCGACTGATAGCCAACTGAACTAACATAGTCAAGCTCACTGTCTGAATTGAATGTTTGATCGTTTCATAGCAATTTTTATAAGCATGATAGAAACTAAACTACAATCAGATGGATTTTATTGAAATCTTTACAAATTCATATATTGACATGAATGAAGCTGTCCAAACTGTGAATTTTTCAAGAGGGTGAAAAATTTATGGATAAATTGTAAATGCTTGGCGAAGACGATCTCGCGAGCGACATTTCAGTCATTGATGTTCAAAAGAAAGCCAACATTGTTTTGAGTTTTATCAGCAGAAATTTACATCCAAAATCGTAAGTAAAGGACAAGTGAAGTGTATGCATGAATGTAATATATCAAAGTCAATTTATGCGAGTATGTGATGCGATTTATGTCAATATGGCATATGGTAAGCAGATTGATGCTTCTAAAATTGTTGTTGCCGAAGGAGTTTTAGCTATAATTTCTTTAGTGCTTGGGGAATCGTGGCCGTTATATGGCAGCAAAATCCTACATTCCTGCAAATATATTTCAATGGACAAAAAATCTGTAGCCATAAGGCGCCATACTATTATTTACTTTATCATAAGCAAATGTTTGGGGCTTTTCAGTTTATGATCATTGATCATTCAATCATTGGACAGTTATACTACATATTGTTTAAGATTTGAGAAAACTAACATTGATTACATGAGAAGCTGTTTACTATAACCTGTGATTTTGAGTCTTCTGATCCATGAAGCTTTTATTTTGACAATTTGACTGGAATGGTATTAAACCTGAGTATTTCACATACATGAAATGTTGTCCCATGTCACATATTGTCCCCTTTTCAAACTGAACACCTCATCTAGAGATGTAAAGGTGTGTTAATCTATGGCTCATACCATAAAATCCAAAGTTTGCCATAAAATCCAAAGGGCTATTGATGTATGAAAAGCATTTTTATAGAGTAAAATGTCTTCCTATGTATGCAGATAAACCTTGAAATTTGGCAAAACAGCAAAGTATTTTCATGATCACTAGGTAATTTTTCTGATGATCATTATAATTTCTAAACTAAATTATTTCAGATCAAACGAGCTTTGATCATATCAAAAGATATTTATCATAACCAGTAAGCATGACACATGAACCAAATATAACATTCATGTAATTATGTAATTAAAGACATGTTGGTTACATTCTGTTTGTATTTGCAAATACAATGCGAGATGTTTACGAATCTGGGACTTAGATGCTCGAGGATTTCATAAAAGCATGTGGAGATTATGGTTAAAGGGTAATCACGTGTTAATTGTTGGATCACCGGCTTCACCTTACGCCAAACATAAACCAATTAACGTAAAACCTATTTTCATTCCTAAAAAAATCGGAGACTGCGTGATCATCTTTGATTAGAGATATCATTCGTTTATCATGCGGCATTTAAGCTAAATGAATGTGGGGAAATCTTGAAGTTTAAAAAAACTTTAATGTAAATGTGATTGGATAAATTTTCATCATGGTTTGATCAAGGAAATGAACTCGTTGAACAAGGAATATAAGAGGAAAAAGATAACTTTCAATTTGTTCAGTTTTACTGTTAATAATGTAATTTTAAGGATTACAACCACGGAAAAGAAACAATCGCGCTTTTCCCACAAAACATTTACCGCATTTGAAAGTCCTGCTATCGTTACATCGCTAAAGATAATTATTTGAAAACGAACTTACCTCTCATTCTTTCCCTTTGTCCCATCCTATTAGGATTGCTAAAATGAATCACTTGCTACCATTTAGTTCTGTCAATAAAATTCTCTCGTTAAATTATTACATTACATTTTACAATGGCAAGTCATATTATTGCAATAAGCAGGGCTCCAATGTTCATAATAAGTATTGAGCACGACAAAAGCTTTTCTATAACATGTGGGTGATTCCCACGTGAATAAATTACAAGCTTTTGATATGCCTTCTAATTTATTTGTTGACGTAACAAGTTGAATAAAGGTGGTCAGGTGGGAGAAAATGATAACTCTCCAAGCTATGGTGCATTGAATTGCGGTTTTGGGTGAGATAATTTTTTGTTCATACTAGATAAAATTTACCACAACACGACATGCTCTGTCTGCCGTCATAACCTTACAATCATTGATTTCGCAAACTCTTCATTGAGGAAACAAAAGAAATATTCTTTTGTTTTCTCCAAACCTCTGGGGAAAAGGCTTTGCTTTCTTTTACTAACCAATGTCGTTAGTTAACTTATAACCAGGCTTAATTCCTTTTGTCTTTGCCCTGCATATATTTTCATGCAATCAATGAATTTAATCCCTTTTTATCATGGTTTGAACAAAATTGACGAATGAATTAATAATTAATTCATGTGATATATGAAAGTTATCAGAAGAAAAGTAGGGTCTTTCACTTCGATAACCCTATTTGACCGAGCTGTTCGTCTGGGAAAGGTGAAAGTCTGTTGAAAGTCGAAGACAGCCTTCAAGAAATGCGACTACTTGTTGGAAAGGACGAGCAACTGAAGACATGACACGGTTGAGATATTTTAGCCATGTTTGAAAGCGGCAGGTTAAATACAGAAAAATCGTCGATGACATAAAGATGTAAGTTTGAGATCGATGAATTAAAATGTATAACCCAATTGTGATGTGAATTCTCGTTACAGCATATTCAAAGCATCGTTATGAGTCCTATTTGTTCGAAGGAATGATTTCGATTTCTTAGTATTTCTATGTTTCGATCTTGGAGCACAAAATGCCGTCAAGTTTCAGTTACATATTGAAGTGAGAACACGAACGAAACTGCCAAAAGTTTCCCACTATTCTTGACATCAATTATTGGACCTCTTCAATACATGTCCAGAAAATATTTTCATTTTTGCATTCATCGTTATCATTCACATAAGTGTGATGATTTTGCATTTTGCCTATTTCTAACAACTGGCCATTGTTAGAAATAGTAGTTCAATCCTTTTGTCTTTGTGACAAAAGGATATAATATTTTATGTCTCCCGAGCAGGGCCGGATTAAGATGTGTGGAGGCTCTGAGCAGCAAAATACGTAGTAAAGATCCCTTTCCTTACTCTAAACGCAATGTGCTGCTCATTTTCAACAGTAAAATTTACTTTCAAATTTCGTAAAGCATTTGATAAAAGTATAAACTTCGAATATAGCGTGTAAAGCGGTTGCATACGACGAGTGAATGCTGCTACTTGAGATAAAGTAGTTATTGCGATTTTATTCTGGCAGTCTTTGATAAGCTCTTCCAAGTTTATTTCTGTTAGAATATTGTCCTCAATGCTCATCAGAGCAAAATGGCTGAGTTTACTGTGATTCGTTGTCATACGTGGTCTGTTCTTCATCACCTGAAATTGATCCAACAAATAAACTAAATGCTTTTCCTTCGTCTTTAAAGCAACTATGTTTATTCTTCCTTTGAATAATGTGAAGGCCCTTGTTTGTGGAGGCTTCTAGACAGCTTCCTTTGGTTAATCCGTCCCTGCTCCTGAGAGGAACTACTGTAGCATCAAGTGATGTTATAGTAGGTGAGATAAAGTGGGTAATTCACTTGAGAAACGTTCAAATGAATTACCTCAAATATATATTATAGAGTATACAAGATATTGCAACATGGGGCAAAATGTTGCTCAATCTTCAAATGCGATGATGTTTTATAAACCTTCGTACCTTACCGTAATAATTAAACAACCTTTTCAATGAAATCGAGCAGAGAATATATTGCATGAGACATTCGTTAATTATCTTGTTTTTATCTAGGTATTTTGAATTATATCGCATGTAATAAATCGTTTGACAATGTTACAGAACACTGCATGTGTTATAACATTGAGGGTGTTACAGCACAATGCACGGTTGAAACGATAAGCTTTCCGCGAGTCTTATAATCTTCAAAGAGTTGTTCACTTAACATACATGTTCAGTCATGTACAGTGTCGAGCGTACGGACAGTGAAAGAACGCGAACTCCGGCAGTGGTATGTGCTAAACAATTGTTTGTTTCCATTAAACAAATAACTCCTTCTTCAGTCTTTTTTTAGGTACAAGAGATGAAGATCAGGAAGAAGATAGAGGAGTACGTTATTATTTTTCCTGTCCTTATCTTAACTTGTTTTTAGATTTTTCGTTTAGATGAGGAGGAGGCTGATGAAAAGTAGAGGAGGATGCTGACGGAGAGACAAGAAGGATGCAGATGAAGAGACGAGGATGCAGATGAAGAGAAAAGGAGGATGCAGATGAAGAGACGAGGATGCAGATAAAGAGAAAAGGAGGATGCAGATGAAGGGACGAGGAGGATGCAGATGGAGAGACAAGGAGGATGCAGATGGAAAGACGAGGAGGATGCAGATGAAGAGACGAGAAGGATGCAGATGAAGAGACGAGAAGGATGCAGATGGAAAGACGAGAAGGATGCAGATGAAGAGACGAGGAGGATGCAGATGAAGAGACAAGGAGGATGGATGGAAAAGATGAGGAGGATGGAAGAGGAGGATGAGGATGAAGAGAAATGGAGATGGAAGATGGAGATGGAAAGATGAAGATGGATGGATGGAAAGAGAAGGATGGATGGAAAGACGAGAAGGATGCAGATGGAAAGACGAGAAGGATGCAGATGGAAAGACAAGGAAGATGCAGATGGAGAGACGAGAAGGATGCAGATGAAGAGACGAGAAGGATCAGATGGAAAGCGAGAAAGGATGCAGATGGAAAGAAGAGGAGGATGCAGATGGAAAGAAGAGGAGGATGCAGATGGAAAGACGAGGAGGATGCAGATGGAAAGAGGAGGATGCAGATAAAAGACAAGGAAGATGCAGATGGAAAGACGAGAAGGATGCACATGAAGAGACGAGAAGGATGCACATAAAGAAACGAGAAGGATGCACATGAAGAGACGAGGAATTTAAATTAAATTATATATTACAGAATTGTATATTCTGTAATATATAATTGAGGTAATTAAGTTAATTCATTTGATATTGCAACATGCGGGCAGAGTGTTGCAAAATCTTTATAAACCTTAGTGCCTTACCGAAATAATTAAACAACCTTTGGATGAAATCGAAAAGAGTTGAGCAGAGAATATATTGCATGAGACATTCGTTAATTATCTTGTTTTTATCTAGGTATTTTGAATTATATCGCATGTAATAAATCGTTTGACAATGTTACAGAACACTGCATGTGTTATAACATTGAGGGGTGTTATAACACAATGCACGGTTCAAACGATAAGCTTTCCGCGAGTCTTATAATCTTCAAAGAGTTGTTCACTTAACATACATGTTCAATCATGTACAGTCATGGATATAAATGTTTTAGCATGATAAAACTATTACAATGCGAAAGCACGATCTCCATAATCACTTGCCATGATATTGTTGTTGCATTTTATAGACATGTCGAGCGTACGGACAGTGAAAGAACGCGAACTCTGGCAGTGGTGGGTGCTTACAATTGTTTGTTTCCATCAAACAAATAACTTCTTCTTCAGTCTTTTTAGGTACAAGAGATGAAGATCAAGAAGAAGATAGAGGAGTACGTTATTATTTTTCCTGTCCTAATCTTAACTTGTTTTAGATTTTCGTTTAGATGAGGAGGAGGCTGATGAAAAGAAGAGGATGCTGACGGAGAGACGAGGAAGATGCTGACGGAGCTACGAGGAGGATGCTGATGGTGCTACGAAGAGGATGCTGATGGTCCTGCGAGGAGGATGCTGATGGTCCTGCGAGGAGGATGCTGATGGTCCTGCGAGGAGGATGCTGATGGTCCGAGGAGGATGCTGATGGTCCTACGAGGAGGATGCTGATGGCGCTACGAGGAGGATGCTGATGGCGCTACGAGGAGGATGCTGATGGTGCTACGAGGAGGATGCTGATGGTGCTACGAGGAGGATGCTGATGGTGCTACGAGGAGGATGCTGATGGCGTTACGAGGTGGATGCTGATGTAGCAACGAAGAGGATGCTGATGGAGCGACGAAGAGGATGCTGATGGAGCGACGAAGAGGATGCTGACGGAGAGACGGGAAGCATGCTGATGGAGAACAAGATGAGGTATAAAAATTTTTTTATTTGTTTCACTGACTTGTAGCTTAGTGACTTCAGTCTTTTTTCAGGTTTATGTGTTTGTTTTATTGTATCGCTAATTTGTTCTTTGGCTATCTTTTAGATTTTAAGAAATCTTGGATTTTGAGAGAGCATATATACTCTGTTGAATTCGGCGTATTCTTACTAAGTCAGAGAGTTCCCTCGCTCTCTGACTTAGAAAACGAATTTTGTGGTAAAGTATTTCAAAGTAGGCTCCTGCCACCTATTTTGGAATAATGTTGTACAAATTTCTATTAAGTAATGATTTTAGAATAATAAAGTTGTTTGAAAAGCATTTATGCCGTGATGAATAAATAACATCCATCGGTAGTTTTGAAACGACTGTCAGCTTAAAATATGCATATGTATTTAAATTAAACATGGTCACCATGCCAGCAAGTGTCAGCGTTTGATAAATGTTTTCGAAATACGCTTTTCAATGCAATATGGAAATTTGTCATCATAACGTGCACAAAATCGCTGTTTCGTAATAATATATACGCAATTTTAACAAATATTTAATGATGTTTGGGGCTGTTTTCATTCAACCGTAGCTATAGTGTGTTTTCTTTTGACGTCATATAAGCCATGTTGGGAGAGTACATGAGAGTGTCGAAGCTCAGCAAAGCATAAAATTAGCAGAAATTCTTTTCACTGTATGGAATTTTGCCCCAACATGGTAACTGATGAAAACAATTTAGAGGAAGAAATCATTAAGGTGTAAAATGATTTTTTCATCAGCTGGCAATCCATTTGGGACTTTTCACAGTATTTTTAATTCACGAAAATTTACATAAAACGTACAAAATGACATACCTCGCAACAAGTATAAAACATGTGAAAATTGATCATCAAATTTACTGGCATTTCCCCAGTATAGTAGCGGCATCTTCTTTCGTGTTTAGAGATTATTTTACACCTCAATGTTTTCTACTCTCATGTCCTTAGACCCAAAAAAAAATTTACATCTGTAATGTAATGTATGATAAACTTAAGAATAAATTTAAGAGAAAGGAACTTCTCAAACGACTTCAAGTAATATGTAAGTTTTAGCAAGTAAAAATGTTCGTACAATAAATTATAAAAAACAATCTCCAAACATTGTTTAAGATTTTAGACATTAAGCTGGCTTGAAGACCACTGTTTTTTGCAAAAAATTCGGCAATTTCGAAGTGATGTATTTCGCCTCCGTACCTTCAATGGCGGCGCTCGTGCAGGCTTCAAAGATGGCGTCCAAGTTAGCCTTCCAGTTGTTGTAGAGTTCAATGGGTTTAAATAAGGTCGAGATCATTGAGCTCTATAGTTAGAATTGAAAAAAATTGACTGTGCCTTTGCAAATATGTGATTCAACTGCAATGATGCACATCGTGCACCAAAATGTAAAGTCACCATTTAATTGAAGAGCTTGTAGGTAGGAGATACAACAACTAATGGTCAAGCTTTATGTAAAAACCGGATACAATATCTTTATGATTCGTAAAATACCTGCTTAAAAAGGGCGTACATCTTTAACTTCAATTCATTCCCTGGATCTTGAATTAAAGATCCTACTTTGTCTTTTGCTTCTTTAAACTGGTGGGAGATTGCAGGGAACTTTCGAACCATCTTCGTAAAAATGTTCAGGTTTAAATAAGGTCGAGATAGATAGTTCACTATACCACGACGAAAAATTGCATGTAATTTACAAACTCTTGGCGTCACGTTCATTTGCTATAATAAAATTTACAATAAATATTTTTATTATTGATTGAACTATGGACGAATAAGAAAATTCATATCTAGAAATGACATGAATGAAAGGCAAAAGTAAATAAAAATGTGACTATTTTTGACCAATGACATTAGGATGTTGATAGTGGTTACAATGGATGATAGTGGATAATTATAGACATGCTTTCAAAATGGCGTATGCTGAACAATTTTATTTTCAGTCAACTTGGAGCACACTTAATCATTTTATGGCAAGAATAGGTAAATGTTGGCTGAACTGTATAAAATAAGGCGTTCAAGGATGCAATTCGGAAGCGTAAAAAAAGACTTGAGGCATATGCAAGAGAACTATCTTCACGTAGCAGACTGACATTTGTGGTGAATTCACTGAATTGCTCTGGAAGCTAACAGTTATTGGTTGTTATTCTGGCTATGTGAAACCAATCTATCTGCATGAGTTCTATCATGATTTTAAACAGCAAATCGATGCGTTGCGTATGAGTTGTATCGACCAGCTTACTACACAGTCAACACTTCACCAATTTGGAATTTGAAACATTTTGGTGATAAGAATTTTATACCGACGTATCCCTGCGATAAAAAGACTCACAAGAAAACTGTTTTGTTCAGAGTAAGGTAAAATATTTTACTCTCTGATTGCCTAAATATTCTTTGAGTATTTAAAACTGGCTCATATAAGACCATACATGTATGTAGTTAATGGGATCTACATTTTAGCTAGCGTGCATAAGTAAAACGATGCACGGTAGTGAGGTAACAATGTTTGAAAGAGGGAGATTTTGTAGTAAAAGTCACCGTAGCACCTAACCTGCCAGGGCTTTCAAGTGCATTTGATTGCCAAAATGTTTTAGTCAGTGCTTCACACACTGTTTATAAATTTGGATCTGCAGCTATTATTACCTAAGTGAAGATTTATTGATTGTCATGCTTTATTTTATCTCCATGTTTTTTTTATATTTTCACCATCATAAGTTGAACATTTGAGTTACCTTGCATGAGTCGTTTTTACTTAAAATATGTTCTTTAACAATTTTGGTTCATCATTGTTTTGTTTTCTTGTAATTGATTTTATTTAGTATTTGTTAATATTGCAACTAAAATATTAACTCGTTTCAGTCTCCGCTTGCTGAAATCAAGATGGCTTCTAACCTTGAACATTTCAAACATTACAACTCAATGGTTGAAACCAATGAACTATTTAATCAAGTTACATTTGTTTCATCGTGTGCAATTCCTCTTTATGGATATCAAAGATATAGACAGTTATTCAAGAATGAAATAAAATATAGAATGTTTTCATTTGTTGATTTGACATACAGATTGGTTTGTTTACCTCCCAAAAGGGAGGAAATTTGTTCACAGCGAACATAAATGCAGTCTTTACAATGTTTTTTAGCTGTCTTGTCATAAATATCGAAAATGTTTAATGATTGATAATATTTTTAATTGTTTAACTAAATGAGTTTGTTTTATGCTTCATTAGAAACTGATGGAAGCTTTGAATAATTTTGGTCAAAACGGCAGATAAATCCTGGGGATGGGGGATGAAGCTTTCTATGTTTACAGATGTATACCATTGTGAATTTATAATTTCATTGCTATCACAATTTATAGATTAATATAAAAATTTTTGATGCTATGAGATGGTCTCATCAATGTGCAACAATTGAACTGGATTTCCAACTTCCTGAGAGATTCAACCTCACGCTAGGTAAGTTTTGCCAGTAAGCGTTGAATAACCTCACTACGGTCTTGATACTTAATTTATTCAACCAACAGTGACATGATTATTTGTTTCTATAGAAACCTATTGTTTAATGGTGAAGGATAAAATCATGCAATGTATTTGAGTTCAATGATGCAAATGATGCAGTCAAAAAGGTGTTTAAGATAGCATTGCTAATGTTCTTTTTACTAAATTGTCATTGTTAAACGAGTAATACGAATATACTCACTTTGGGACAAGCAGGACAGATATTTCCTTCATCAAGCTCAGGAATAACACAGCTCAACATGTTTAGTTTATGTCTGTAAATTCTGAAAAAAACAATGACACAAAGAAAGCAATTATGCACTCTTAAACAAATGACATAAACAAAATACAGTGCAATACAGTAATACTTGAGGAAAAATCCTTTCTCATCATAAACTTTAGCATTTTGATTTCCTCCAATTAAATACATCTGTTAAGATGAGATTCTTAGGCTATAAAATTGACTGCAACTTTCCCAGCAATTCATACGTAGTACAGCAGTGCAATAAATCAGTGACCTACATGCAATTACCTGTATTCTTCAAAAGCATCTATAATGACAGGATACATTTTTGGAGTTGCATAAGAAGAAAATATGTGGTTGTGATTAAACTCTTCAAATGACTGACAAATGCTTTTTATTGATGCCTGGCATTCCATCTGCACAGAATGAACCAATTCAAAAAACTCAATTGCAATTGCAATTCTTGGTTTTGTAGGTGTTCCACCCCAAAGGCCAAATTGCAGAAGTTGAACAAACTCGGAAGAGCATGAGCAAAACTGTACCTCAACAGTACAAAAGGTGCCTAAAAATTGAAAAAGATCCAAAATTATAATTGTGTTGAACCATCCCAGCTAAAATGAAGAAACTTTTACAGCACATTTTACATATAACATACCTTTAACATCAACAACAGAAACACTTCTTTTGTGACGAGCTGTTTGGCATGAACAATCATACACCAGCATGTTCATGAGTTTATATGGCCAAAACATGCCATCCTACAAAGCAATGAATAACCTCGTAGAAATTCATTGTAATCAATCCCCTTTCTTGCATTCATAAAAAATATTAGATTAGTGCTTCGTAGCATGTTTCACAATGTAAACTCTCATTTTATTTTTTCATTTTTTATTGCAAGTGTTGAGAGAGTTAACTGTAAAGACTTTTATAATATCTACCTCATAAAGGTTACCTTAAATATTTCAACATGATGACAAATATTTACGGTTGTGTGCATCTTTAACATACAGTTCTCACAATACTTTGCCATTGGACCACAATCGCTGCACCTAAACTTTGCTTCATTATCACAATGAATACACATCCGATTGCTCCAATTTTTGCCAGCAAACTGAAATGTATTCTTTATAACTGAATGTCAAATTTTCCCATGCTTTTGTCTTTCAACTTTCTGTAAGAAGTTGAGTCTTCACAATCATGGCGAACATCACTTTCAAGATCACTGTTATCTTGTTCCATTCCCAGTTCATGGCCTTCCAATACACCACAATTATCAGGACTGTTAATAGAACAGCTTCCTCTATGATCCTCAGTAACCAATTCTGACAAATCCACCTCCTCTCTCTCAACATGGCCATCCTCATCATGATATGTGACAGCTACAGTTGCTTTAAACCTTTTATTTGTCCTACAAAATTATCATAAAATTTATAAAATGATAATAAATGTTGAAAAGTCTACAGCTATAAGGCCGTTATTTGGTGTACCTTGGCATCTTTTAACATTACCAGTAAGAAAATCACAAATCAGAAAATATTATCGATATTACCAATGACACAATAACATAAGTTAATCGACCAAAGTACAACGTACGTATCTTCCACGACTACCAGCCGACGTTTTGTACCCGTACTTTACCGGCTATAGCCACGTCTCACAAGACGAATGGGGTGTTATTTGACATCATTTGCAACATCACAATCATGCCAGTGGTACTTCAGTAAGTATTTTTATTCATAAATTTCACGCTCCTGGAGGGAGGTGGCTGTGTCCTTTCCAAGAGCTCTATTACCATAAACTATTATTTGTCTTCCGATCAGGCCAGAATTTATAATATTAATAATTAAATAATAGACATGGATTCATATTGCCTATAAAATTTTCCATACATCGTCCGATTCTATGAAGAATTGAAGATCAATTACTGTATAGAAATTTTACCATCTAAACTATTTTCCTTCTCCTCCTATGAGCCCCATACCCAGTGCAAACGCCCTCCCCCGTCAGTGAAAAATCCATCACAATCATGACCATCAAATCATTCCATAGAAAAATCCACCCGTGTTATAGTTCATACGCGCATTTAAGTCCATATGATTAATAGTGAGTTGTTCACAGATCACTTCAGTAGTTCACAGATTCCATCCAAATTCCGGAAAATAACATACTATTGAAAATTTTGTTTTACGTTCAGAATAATTACAGCCAAATTTGTATATCTTGGAAAAGTTTGGTGTTCGTTGATATTTAATGATAAATTTTTTATTGATATTTTTGCATTGATCTGAAAGATCTTGTTAGAAGATTGTTTTACTCTTGAACACAATACATAGAAACAATATATATAAGGATTTCCGGTTGTATTTCATAGTTGATACATCTTGACTTACAATTCACTGACTGACAACGTCAATCAAAACATGAACGACTTATTATATAGAATGTAAACGGTCCATATAAAACATCCGTTTCCCAAAAATTAATGCCATTTCCAACCCCCAATCTTCCTCCAAGAATGAACAAACAGTTAAGTTCTTATTAATTGTATTCATACAAATTCTATTAGTTTACATCAAGTTTCGAATACTTGGCTATCATTTGAAAAATTGTTTTGATTTAGTCAAATTTTATATTACATACGTATGATCTTATTTTAATTACAAAAAATTTCTATGAGAATATCAAGTGTACGCTGCTTGAAATTTTGTGCAAGTTATTTCAAAATAGGTGGCAGAAGTCTCTTTTGGAATACTTGAATTTCTTTTTGAAATTCTTCACTAAATTAGAGAGCGAGGGAACTCTCTAGTTTAGTTAGAATATTGTAAAAAATCTTTTATGTGCATGTTTTTGTGTTTTTGTGCATGTTTATGATCATCTGCAAACACCGAAGAATGGAAGTCGAAAATTTTGTCTTCTCGAAACATGCCTTCTTTAAATTTTAATATCTTCTCCAAAAATAAGTAATAAATATTGGTTTAACTTACTGCAAGAAGCGTTGCTTGACAATGACAGGTTACGGCAATGTGGTTCTGAAAGAAATTGCAAAGAAGATTTGATGAACGATACAAACAAATACATGCTTACATCTCTGTTCTGCTATTCTTGATCTTATCGACCTCTGCATCTGAAAAACTGAGGAAAAAGTTGCAGTATGATGAAGCAAACAAGCAAACAACTGACAAACAAACACATACCGCAGTCTCAATCTTCATCGTTCAGTGCCATGAATAACTGTAAGAATAATGTTAAAATACAATCATGACGAACTGTAGGAGCATATAAATTTTCAAAAACCAGTGTTTGCAGACGATCTGTCGAAATTTCTATCAAAACTGGTACTTTGATGATTTCAGAAAACAGCTGTAAACTGCCAACATTTACAGGAAAGGTTTACTTTATGGCACAAAAGTTACTGTCAGATTTTTCAAACGAAGTCAATCATCTCCATTGAACATAATGGACAGACGAGCATTCATGACGAGCCCTCAAGTTGGATTCAAAATTTGAAACAGTTTCCTCTCCCGAGGAATTATCTTTATGATTGCAATAGTTCTATACAATCATACAAAATAGCTATTTTGGCTAAATCATTTACCAAACATTAGAACATCACCGGAAGTTAAATTTTTATTGCTTTGTAGACACTGTTATAACATCCCTCAATATTATAACAGTGCAATCATAGGCACAAATAAACCATTAAATATTCAAAGTAGACGGCTAGTCTGACTGGCTCGTGATAATCATTTGCATAGATGTTGAGTTTAAGATTTTTGCAATACTCTGCCAGCGTATTGCAATTTCTCTTTCAACCATGATGATTGATTTAATGTAAATTAGATTTTGTTTTAATTTTACACAAGATATGAGCAAGAAGCACTCTTATATTAACATGCTCTAAAGCATGTTAACTGATTTGTGCTAACATCTACAAAATTACTCCATGGTATATAGAAGCGCCAGTCAGTTGTTGCACAAGTACAACACATCTCTTTACTACCAAATCCCCCAGTTATTACCAAATCAAGCACGTGTCAGAACTAGGCAATAAGCAAACATAAGCTAGCTCTCTGTTGGTCGGTCGAATTATTGATATGGACAATGAAGAAGGATGTTTTGGGTCGAAGGATGATCTGTTTCTTCCGTTAGCAACATCTTGAAGTCAACTTTGTTGTCTAGAAATATAGAATACGAGAGAAATGAATTGATTTTTCAGTATCGGAAATCATCGCACCATGAACTTATTATGTTCGTTAATAAATCACTAATCACTTTGGTTACTTCTTAGTACTTTAACATGGCTCTCTGATCAAATAATTTAGTATGTTCAGCATCATAAATTATTGTGACACCTAGCTCTTGCGTTCACTTCATTGCCATCTTTTCTTATTATCGTCAGTGATTCTTAACCGTGTACACTTTTAAATTATTTGTTTTAAAATTGAGTTTCTTAGCCTGTGGCTGTCATAGAAAAATGATTTTCTTCTTTTCAACTTCCAATGGCAAAGTTACACAACGAGAAGGTGCTTTTGGTGCTGTCTTTGGTCATACTAGTCTTACAGCACAAGCAAAAGTGATTATTAATTGTCAAACAAGACAGAATAAATGAAGGATTAGAATCAACATGAGCATAAACAAAACAATATTCAAAAAATTTCCGTTTTCCTGGTCTTTTAGGTCTCATGAGAAAACAAAATTGAATGCATGGTACACACGATAGAATAAGCATAAACGATAAAACTTTATTTCTTTTTCTCTTCAGAGTTTACACAGAAAGACATGGAAATCTTCTTTCGTTTTTCTCTTGTTCTTTTTGTGTTCTTCTTTCAGCTAATGCCTAACACATTTCCTTAAGCCTGTGTAATGGTGTAACTTCGCTCTTTTGAGTGGGTGGGAGGAGCTTTAGGAATAAATTTGCCCATAAAAGCGTGGTGTTATTTTTTATGTTGTTTCCTAAGCTGAAAGAAGTATAAAATATTGAAAAGAAGAATATGATTTTTGATGTTTTTTCTGTAAACCCTCGAGAGTCATAAGCACGCTCGTTGCTTATGCTTGTGATTACGTAGACGTTAATGTTCCAACTTTTGCTTATTGTTTTTCTTTAACACTTTATTGACACTTGACACAACATTCAAAATAGATATATTCTATTCAAACAGTTCATGAAAAAAATTATTGCTTTGTTCCGACAGTTGGATTGGCTGGATTTGAACAGGACGTTCTATACGAGAAGGGATTACGTTGGTTTTATTCAGTTATTTTGGGGATGATTGACGTATTATCAGTGTACCGTATGTCAAGAAGCATCCTATGGTGATACAGGTGAGCCATCACCCCTCAGATTAAGCTCTAGGATATGTTTGCTACAATGACGGAATCGTTGTAACAAAGTCTTCTGTTCTTACTTCATATGCTTCATCTTGTTTTATACAGTTTTCCAAAATGACTCAACTGTAAATATTGTAAAACAAGCACGATTAAAAGCGTGTATATAAATTTGTAAAATTTAAGAATTGCCAAAGAATTTGTCCAAACAATTAATTTTTGAGAAATTTCAGAAATTTCCTTCAAATAGGCCATTCTTTTCTGAGAAATTTCCTTAGAAATAAGACCACATTTGACCATCGTTATCATGTTCACTACTTCATGTAAAAGTTATATATCGTCTTCCAAGAAAACAACATAACAATTTTTAATTTTTAAACCTCACAAGCATTCGTTCTCCGCAAGAATATTTCTCTCCACATATCTGTTGTAAAAGAGTGAAAGACAAATAATATTTTAAAGAACATATAAAGTTTTTTTTGAAAGCTGAAACAAGGTAATAGATATATATGTTATTGTTATGCCTGAGTCTGACTTTGACTTTCATAGCGGAAATTGAAACGATATTTATTTTTATTTCTACATAGCAAAGATATTTAAGTTTTTTCCTACACAGCCAATATTGTGAATAATCTTTTGTATAACATCTCTAACTAAAGCAATATCGTTAAAATGGATAAAGTTCAAGAACTTTCTGAAGCACTGCCTTTACCAAGTCAGCCATTCTTAAACGTCGAAGTAAATGAATGCAAAGAAAGGTTAGTTCATAAAATGAACAAAGGACTGTATGCAGAAGGATATTGAATTGCATTTCATGTAATAATCTAGTTGAGTGAGTCTGTGTTAGTGAAACCATGCTACAGGTGAAACTAGGTAATGAACAAATCATGTTTTGTTTTGTAAAGAAACTTGAATAATTTTAATATGTTACTAGATTGACGTCACTGGTCATATGTTGTGCTTCAACAGACTCACTTCTTCAAATACCACTGTGCTGTCAAAACGTGAACAAAACCATTTATTCAATTTGATAATAAGCATTAACATCTTAATAGTATTTACCACTTTATTTTAGCACTATCCCAGAGTATAGAATTATAAAGCTTGTCAAAGACTTTCTTATCAACATGAAAACAATTCATGGCGACTCATGTTTCGTAGAATTTGTTGATCCTTTTTTAATGGAACATGTCAAGAGCATAACTATTGTGTATGACACAGATAATTTTTCAACATATGGCAAGGTTATTGACCCTATGATCAGACAATATTTACTTTCGCATGTGTGAGAGTAGGTTGTTCACACCCCCCTGGTATGTCACACATCCCTTTTTGTTGAACCCCCACGGAAAAGAAAATGCAAGAACTCTTAGAGGATTGACTTAGTTTGATAATGAAGATTTACATGAAGTACATATTTCTGTCAAACCTTCATAATTCTTTTAACAGATAATTGATTTGAAAAAAGTTATGCTAAAGTATCATGTCTATCAACTTCATGATGGGGGGCATGGATATGAAGAACTTGAGGATGATATATCTGCTCCAGACAACTGGCTTTTGCCTACAGGTGGGTAAATTTTGCCTGCAGGTGGTCAACTCACTTCAGTCCCAGGTCTTTTCGCTTTCACGAGTTATAAGTATTAGCAACAAATACAATTAATTCATCATTTTAGAGGATTTTCAGGGCTTGTGGGAAAGCTTGCTCTTTGACTCGGATGTGAAAATCAGGTTGTTCTTCATAATGAACATTTAATGATTTCTCTCGTGAGCGAAGTTTAAATTGTAGCTTGTTAAGGACGTCTTTAGCGCCGAAATAAGTTAACGTTTAAACAGTTAGCTGTCAAAACGTCAAATAGATTTTTTAAGGATTTTCCTAATTTCTCCTATTTTCCAATGTACATTATGTACTCGGAGTTACTGATCAACGGAGTTACTGATCAACGGATCTGATCTAACTTATTAATCTCTAATATTTTCAAAAGGTTTACGCAAGCGATGACATTGTGCACCGTAGTGGTGACAAAGCTTACTTAGTAAACATTAAAAATACACATCTCAGCAATTCTAGCGAGTTATATCGATTAAAAAATGTTAAAAATTTTGTTGTTCTAATTTATTTACGAAAGTATATGTGCCATGACTATGATATTTCATGTATCTCATTTTTATCTTATTTTTTAGTTGCTAAAATATGCGGCAACGACACTTTCTCCGACAGGTTTGTCGTGTGAAATGAAACTATTGAACTGAAGACTTTTAGAGAAGCCAAATTGCAAAATCGTTCGTTTTTCCATCTTTTTAAAATCACTCCCAAACAATGACATTTCAAAGTATATATTAGTCACGTGTTTGAATCATATTTTAGAGGCGTGGATTTCAACATCATCTCGTGAAATAAAGTTATCTTATTGCATGGTAAGTTAGTTTCCTTGGTAACCAGACGTGAGTCCTTGCGTCATCGTCCGTCACGTGTATCTTTTACGAATCAAATTAGATTCTATTTTTGCGTGTGTTGACTTTGTAACAACTCTCATCTTAACGGAGAAATCTCATCACTCATAACATTCAAGATTGAAAAATCACATATCAAAGTATTGATAAGAATAAGTTAGCTACAATCAGATAGAATGAAACGCGAGAGACGTGATGGTGTTTTAACGAGCCAACTATTAAATGACGTCAAGGCTACCATGTTTGTGTACCGCTGTGACGTCACTCGAAAACAAACAACGAAGCCAATCAAACACCAGCATTTACCACTCATAGTACATCATGTTTGTCTTCACGTGATCTACTGCAAATATCCAGAAGAATAAGTTGAACTTTTCTTTAAAACTTTCACAGAGCCAACCGGTACTGGTGAAACATCCTTATGTAAGGCGCTTGCTCAAAAATTATCCATACCACTTTCTAAAAGGTAAAAACACTACATTTTATTTTGATGTTACGTAAATCGCAATCCATTACTATCCATGTGTACTGCAACTAATATTGCCACGTAATTTTATTGTTATGTCGAAATTATAAATACAGTATAATCCAAAGGACATGTTGTAAACTCAACATCAAATTTAGAAAACAAGACGATTAAAATGTAAATATTACACTTTCAATTGTTTTGCTTTGTAACTTTTATTAAGTTTACGAAAATGTTCTAAAGATAGCAAATACCATAGTAAATGGTAAAAGTAATATAATAAGTTGATAGTTCTTACAAGAACTGTTGTAAGTAAGAGCACTAACCCAATAGTCTAAATTAAACGACACGATGCATTTCGGCAGACTACTCCTCAGGTGTCAACGTCTGCTGAATGAAAATTTACAATCTACCGATATTTATAATGCCAAGACAACAGTCTTTATCAACTTATTATATTACATTTACCATTCACTATGGTATTTGCTATCTTTAAAACTATGTATTATTTCTTTCTCTACAATGTTGTCGCTTTTACAGGAGTAAAAGCACGAAAATATTATATGACATGAACAAACTTGCTTGATGACAACTTTGTTCAGTCAAATACTTATTATCTATCAATTACGTATTTACAGAAGTCTTGATTTGAACTACATTTATGCGTTTATTTGCTAAACCTAGTCTTCCCCAATGTTGTTTTCTTCTTATTTCAGACATCCTAATGTAATTATATTGACAACATCGAACATAACTAGAGCCATAGACGTTGCGTTCGTGGACAGGTTGAAAATATGTTTGTGACTCGAAAGTTTTTTAATTCACTTTCTCATCTAACTTCGCTATTTGTTCGCCCACAGAGCCGACATCAAACAGTATATTGGTCCGCCATCAGCCAAAGCTATTTACAAAATTTACCATTCTTGCATCAAGGAACTTGTAAGGGTAGGGTATTCAATGTTTTTACCACAGGATAAGAAAAAATATAGTTGAAACAGCACTATTTGTTTGTATGTAACTTATGTCTTCTTGTGCACGTGATCAACGAAATGGCTGCCGGTCAATTATGTTTTCTGGCCAAAAGGAACGCCGAAATGGCTTACCGCAACCTGTCATCATATACAATATAAAACAACAATTTGCCTCGTGAAGTATATCCCCTCTTCTCAGTACTTTGTACCTTTACGTCTACTGCTTTATTTCCATACCACAATATAGTCGTTTGTGCAAGTTATACAAACATGTTGCTTAAATAGAGAGGTGTGCAGCTATATAGAAATTGATTGCAAACGATTGCATTGTAGATAATTTTTTAATAATCAAAATTAATGTTCACCGTTTCATCACAGACCAGTATCATATCACCAGCCACTCAAATTTTGGATTTAGGTACAACTGAAAAATACACGAAATTTTATTTTGACGAAAATTGACGGTGTTTTCTCTTCTTATATTTGTCCTTAATTGTGTATGTAGAGCTCTGGAAATTTAACGGTTTGTTAGAAATTTTTGTTCACTTCTATGTTGATGACATGGTTTTAATTTCCGATGTACAACTTTTTCTCCCTATTTTCCATTGTAGCTTTGTCGACAACGATTTAACACACTGTAGTCTTGAATTAAAGAAGATAGCCGAGTAGTGAGTAGATGTTTAGATGTAGATCGTCGAGGTTAGTGGAGTCCTGCGAAGGACTGTTGATGTTGAGGTTGACTGACTTCTCAACAACCTTAGCGGTAGTCATCTTTAGAGTCAGCATCAACAACAACAGTTCTTTTCAGGACTTTACTAACCTGGACGATCTACATCTACAAACATGTAACGATACTCCCATGTTCAAACCTTTCACTTTAAAGTAAAGTGATGTCACAGAGTAAAATAAACATTTCTTGTCTTCGTTTATGGTAAATATTATGTCACCCAGTCTTCATGTTTTCAAGTTAGTATTCTTCTCGTTTTACAAAGAAAACGAAACTACGCCCGGGGGATTTTCAGAAGTTGTCTGAACCTTGGCAGTATGTTCTAGTTTCTTTATGAGAAGAATTCTTGTAAAGAAAAAGACAAATTTTGAAAGGAAAACCCGTTTTCGGTCCATGCTTCCCGATACCTTCTTAAGCGTAAGGCACTAAAACGCGGCATGTTAACGTTTCGGTAGCAGATTTCGGCCCCTCCACGCTATCCTACTTGGGAAATGCCAATAGCAAGCTTCCGCCCATCAGACCCTGAGATCACCTGCGATAGGCTTTGCTCAGGATACGCAGGGAGAGTGCGGTCGCCACCGAAGTGAGGGCCCCTAAGCCACTGCATACTATATCGCACCCAGCTTCCACTGCTAGTTGACATCTACTATATGAAGTTTTAGCTTTATATATATATACCAAAATTTAAAGGCGTACGAAAGTTGTGGGATGATTGTTATCGTTACAGCGCATGCCCAGATGATTTCTTTGATAATTTGCGACTAAGTGAGTTAAATGACACAAATGTAGTGCAAGTACATATAGTTGGTCGTTGTCATGACTATGAACAATTACTGAGTGGACTGCGCATGCTCGAGCGCATGCGCAGACGATTTCTCTATTAAATTGTTACTAAGCATGCTATTTACTTCAAAATTGGTGCTAGTAGATGCAGTTGGTCGTTGCCATGACCATGAACTCGGGTAGCTGGTCAAATTGACTGCGCATGCTCAGTGAGACTGCGCATGCGCAGATGATTTGTCTTAAAACGTGTGACTGAGCGAGCTAATTACTCCAAAATCGGTACTAGTACATCCAGTTGGTCGTTACCATGAGCTGGAGAGTTTGTGGAGTTGACAACGCATGCTCAGATTCTCAATTAATTTGTGACAGAGCGAGCTCTGAACTTGGTGCTTGTAGATGCGCTGAGCAGGCTTTCCATTATATATTTTTGTCATGCTCTTTGTCTACTTAAGCTTGTTTTTACAAATGCATGTGAAACTCGTCAACACTTTGTTACGGCTCTCGTAATATCCGTGACAAGGTTAAAATTTTTTATTTTTCTACAACTTTATACCTGCATATTGCATGTCATATCCAAGCTTTCCTTAGATTTGACGGGAAATGGTTTTATTCACTCTTACATCTTCTGCCTTTATAATTAGTCGATCTGTATTTCTAAACTAATACTTACAAATGCCCCAAGAGAATTTTTTTTATTGGCTCTCTTCTACAAATACAATACCATGTCCGACTATTTGATTGCACGAATTTTTTAATTTGATCACGTTTTTTTGACACGTGTGTTTACGATGGGAAAGATGGATTGCTTAAACGTACCTAGTTGTTTAGACTACTTGGATCCATAGTTATCCTGTAACGTAAACTCTTGTGAAACACCAATGAGCATACGTAGTGTGTCTTGTATAACCTCTATTCTTGTTCTCCACTTCATCATCTATCCATATTTGTTCTTGTTTAGTTCTCAGCTCAACACAACCCTTGTCTGAAGTTCCTAAAACCTTCATCTACCCAAGAAAGATCTCTGGTGGTAACATGTTAGGTATGGCTAGTGGTTGGTCATCGTCATTGAGCCTTGCGAAACCAGTTCAGTATACGTTAATTGTCCTGAAAACGTTGAGGAGGTTGCTAGTAAAGCGTCGCCTAAACCAGAAGTTAGTTTTCATGGTATGCTAACTGATTACGCAAACGTTGTTAGGAATAAGTTCACATAAAATGGTTATGGTCTCATTCCATCGTATTCTGAGAAGGTTTCATGTTCATCCTGAATCTTTCACCAATGTTACAAATACTTAGTTTTTTTTGCTTTTTGAAATTGTCGTTTTTATGGCTATTATTTTAGAGCATAGACATTGAAAAATCTTGTGGTAGTACAGGTATTTTCAACATTTTTTTGTTGAAAAATTCTCTAGTTTCAATTCTTCGAAATTTCTCATCTTAATTGTCACCTTTTCTTTAGAATCCTTTCGATACGAGAAATCGTCGGGATTTGAGGTACTTTATACGATATATTGAATTTAAGCGTTAATAACTCTCATCTGTTCATCGTAACTTTGCGATAATTCTATGGATAAATTATGTTTTATATATAACAGATTATTGATGATCATACTTCACCTGAAGGTGTTCAGCAAGAACGACGTATGAAGTTACTGTCGTTAATTAATAATATAGCCCTTGATAAAGGGTTGGATGGTCGAAATTATTAATGTCATGGTTGTTTCAGACCAATTGGAATGAGTATGATCAATGAATTCTCGACTTGTTATTTGCCAATAACTCAAATATATTTATTTTCAAATTTCTTAGCTTAATAAATGTTATCTTTGTAGAAACTATTATAACAAAGTACATAATCCCTTTTTCCGTGAAGCCCATGGATGCGTTCGTTCATGATGAAAGAGTCATATTGTAAGGAGGCTCTCGTTCATCACGAGAGAGTTATGAGAAAATACGTTGTAAAGGTACTAAGTAAAAAACATATAAACATGCTTAGTGTTTGTTTAAGTTATTTGTTTGTACCAGGAAGGAAGGGCTTTAGAGGGTGTGAATTTCATTATGTCTGTGATGGACTCTTGTGTAGCCGGAGGGGGGAACTGTGCTTTTCTAAATGAAATAAAATGGTGAATGGAGGGATGGTATTCAACTTTATGAACTTTTCTGCAGTGATGTTATTGTTATGTTAGTAAAAACAGAAGTCAAGACCTTTGGGCCTTACCATTAAGACCGTCATACAATTTAAACTGTACTCTTTAAATGTATTTAGTGCTAACAACGGCATTAGACAAGGTGAAAATTTTCAAACTCTTTCTAGGTACTGAGAGCTCCACATAATTAAATATTGTCAAGTACAGAGTGATAAAGGGTGGAAAACTCACCTTTCCATTTCCACAGCGAACCAACGTGCCCATAAACGCAATATTTTTTTTGCTCCGTAAGACTACTGTTCGCTAAGGCTTCTGGTATTGATGACGTATATTTCCTCTGGGGTTCAGTTTCCTCAGTGAAGCTTCATTCATCAATTTCAAGGTCTACGGCCTAAACACAACAAAAATATCAAGGTGAGGAAGACAGCTGGTCTTCATATGGTGAATGAGTGAGGAAAATCAGTAAAGTTTTCAAAATGTATGTTCAGAAGCAGTCTAGGGACAAACAGCTCACCTCAACCAATCGTATATCAGCTGGTACACGATCACAAGTAGCTATGACAACAATATCCCCACAAACTAATTCTTTAGCAAGAAAGTTTACCAATGAACCATTCCTAAAGCTAAAAATACAGAGAATATTCACAAAGAAAAGGCATCCAACATATATAAACTGCTGATAACAACAAAACATTGACATTCTTAAGTTAAGAGTCCATGCACATGGTAGACATATATTGTCCAATTACAATGCTTACAATTCCAGATGCAAGCAGCAGCAATATCATAAGCTCTTTGAACTAAAAATTTATACAAATTTCTTTAATTTATATACTTCGCTACAGTGACTACATCAGGAGTGATCTGACGTTGATTCTCGAGTCCTTTTATACTCCAGTCTGGTGTCATTAGAAGTGATTTGATGGTGAAACTTGAGTCCTTTTATACCCCAGTCTAGTGTCTTTACCATAATTAATCTGATGTTGAAACTTAAATTTTATATGCTCCAGTCTAGTGTCCTCATCATAAGTGATCTGTTGTTGACACACGAGTACTTATACACTCCAGTCTAATGCCTTTATCATTGATCTGATGCAGCCACTCGATTCCTACTAGAAAAATCTTAACAGTTTAAAAATAGCCAACCAACCTGATCAAAATATTTTCGCCATATTGGAACTTCAGCTCCCGCATCAAATTCGTTCAACCCATATATTCTTGCACGTCTTTCGGCTTCAGATTTGTCCAAACCAGTATATACATGAGTTACAAAGTCCCTTTCTACATCGTCGATGGACAAGCTAGACACTTTTGTTGATGGCATAAACGGCAACATTTTAATCTCCGGAGTCTTACTCTCACTATCTGTTTGAGATTTCAAATTCATTTAAACTGTACAGTTTTCGCTAGCGTCGCAGACGAGAAGAATCTGTTAGCGTGTTTTCATTTCGGATATCCCGAGGACATTTCTGTCAGCAGGTTAATTCAAAACAACTTAAACAAGCCAACATTACAGAAATTTTTAATTTTAATTGTCATAAATTTATTTGAGCATTCATTTGCAAACATCACAATCATGCCAGTCGGTACTTCATGTAAGTATTTTTATTCATAAATTTCACGCTCCTGGAGGGGAGGTGGCTGTGTCCTTTCCAAGAGCTTATTACCATAAACTATTATTTGTCTTCCGATCAGGCAGAATTTATAATATTAATAATTAAATAATAGACATGGATTCATATTGCCTATAAAATTTTCCATACATCGTCTGATTCTGTGAAGAATTTAGCTATCAATTACTGTATAGAAAATACTTTACCATCTAAACTATTTTCCTTCTCCTCCTATGAGCCCCATACCCAGTGCAAACGCCCTCCCCCCCGTCAGTGAAAAATCCATCACAATCATGACCATCAAATCATTCCATAGAAAAATCCACCCGTGTTATAGTTCATACGCGCATTTAAGTCCATATGATTAACAGTGAGTTGTTCACAGATCACTTCAGTAGTTCACAGATTCCATCCAAATTCCGGAAAATAACATACTATTGAAAATTTTGTTTTACGTTAAGAACAATTACAGCCAAATTTTGCATATCTTGGAAAAGTTTGGTGTTCGTTGATATTTAATGATAAATTTTTATTGATATTTTTGCATTGATCTGAAAGATCTTGTTAGGAAGATTGTTTTACTCTTGAACACAATACATAGAAACACATATATATAAGGATTTCCGGTTGTATTTCATAGTTGATACATCTTGACTTACAATTCACTGACTGACAACGTCAATCAAAACATGAACGACTTATTATATAGAATGTAAACGGTCCATATAAAACATCCGTTTCCCAAAAAATTAATGCCATTTCCAACCCCCCAATCTTCCTCCAAGAATGAACAAACATTAAGTTCTTATTAATTGTATTCATACAAATTCTATTAGTTTACATCAAAGTTTCGAATACTTGGCTATCATTTGAAAAATTGTTTTGATTTAGTCAAATTTTATATTACATACGTATGATCTTATCCAAATTTTGTAAAATTTTTATGTTATGGAAAATTTGTTCAAATGCATAAATTATAGTTTTTTGATAAAAATTTGGAATTATTATAAAATTCATTTTCAGGTGGGAGGGGTAGTATCCCAATTTTGTAAAATTTTTTTTGTTATGGAAAATATGTTCAAATGCATAAATTATAGTTTTTTGATGAAAATATGGAAATATGAAGAAATTCATTTTCAGGAGGGGAGGGGTGGTATCCCAATTTTTAAAATTTTTTGTTATGGAAAATATGTTGAAATGCATAAATTATAGTTTTTTGATGAAAATATGGAAATATGAAGAAATTCATTTTCAGGGGGAGGGTCGATCCCAATTTTTAAATTTTTTTGTTATGGAAAAATGTGTTCAATGCATAAATTATAGTTTTCTGATGAAAATATGGAAATATGAAGAAATTCATTTTCAGGGGGTGGTATCCCAATTTTGTAAAATTTTTTTTGTTATGGAAAATGTGTTCAAATGCATAAATTATAGTTTTTTGATAAAAATTTGGAATTATTATAAAATTCATTTTCAGGGGAGGGTGGTATCCCAATTTTGTAAAATTTTTGTTATGGAAAATGTGTTCAAATGCATAAATTATAGTTTTTGATGAAAATATGGAAAATATGAAAAATCTGTTTCAGGGGAGGGGTGGTATCCCAATTTTGTAAAATTATTTTTGTAAATTTGGAAATATAAATAAAATCTATTTTCAGGGGGAGGGTGGATTCCAATTTTGTAAATATTTTATTTTGTGATGGAATAATTGTAGTTTCAAACGCAAAAATTATATTTTTTGATGGAAAACATGCAAAATATGAAAGAAAATATCCGTTTTCAGTGGGAGGGGTGGATTCCCAAATTTTGTAAATATTTTATTTTCGTGGAAAATGTGTTCAAATGCATAAATTATAGTTTTTGATTAAAATTTGGAA